TGCTATTTACTTGTGAAAGTCCAATAAGCATGCAACAGCTGCGTGATTGATACAAGGAATCATATAAATAAAAATGAACAATACTTGGGTCTGCGTCACTTATTTACGAAGGCAATTGTTGACATCCCTATTTGAATACAATGAAATCTCGAATTCATTTACATTTGAATTGACCATGTTTAAGGAACAAAGAATCAAGACATTTTATTGAGCAGAAAAGTTTTACGAAACACAATAGAATGTATGACCAAAAGTTGCATTGTCATCGCACTGCTTCAAGCAGTCAGTGCCGACAACTTTAGGAAGTCGGTGCCTACAACTTTTGGCAAACGGCGTAGGCTGTTGATTCTGTATATGTCATAAAGAACCGCTAAAATGCTATGACATTTTGAATGTCTGAATGTTTTGAATGAATGTCTTCATTACAAGAAAAAAAACAACTATAGGAGATCACTGGAATATAAAATATACTATGTTACTTATTTATATACTGTTGTAACAATGAATCCAAATATGCACAATTGAATTATACACCAACAATAAAGCATCAACTAACAGAATGTATGTAGATATTTCGCAAGCAAATTTAAGTGGATAGCGAAAAAATTAAAATAAGAACTATTATGTTGAGTAATATTAGATACCCTATAATTTTTATATATGGATCACAGGAAAACATAAATACCACAGCTTTTAACATTAAAAAAATTATTAATAAAAACTAGCTTTCGCCCGCGACTCCGTCCATACTTTCGCATTTATAATATTAGTAAGATTACTATCGCGGTTTGAAATCGAGACAATGTCAAAGATTGATCTTTTCAAATTGGGTAAATCACAAGTTGTAGGAAGAGAAATTCAAATTTTAATTAAATAAGGACAGCAAATTCGAATTCACAACCGAGCTCAAGTTCCTTTGCCAAATTGTTGCTTAAATCAAGCTTTTGTAATAGAATTGCAGCAAAATGCGCATTTCCTTGGGGTCTATTGGATTTAGATTGAGCTGTACGTATTCTTAACGGAACCAATTCGGTTTTATTGGCGGGTGTGTGATGCAAAATCGTATTAAATGTGTGTTTACAGTCCTATTTTTTTTGTGATTTTCTAAAAAAATCTTCATTCGTTTCTTTATACAATTGTCTTTTGAAAAATTTTGTACAAAATGTAAGTGTTGACAAAGTTAGTAAATTATATTATTTTTGTTATATTATGGCTATATGCTAATTACCTTTCCAATTACTGTCTTGTTTACAATACATGTATTTAATTATCTGCAATACCGAGAAAATAACACGTAAAATATCGATTAACGTGTCAAGTTCTTTACTCTTTTATCTATTTATTGGTTTGTTATTGTTTGTAACGACTTCGCGTGACAGTCTTAAATTACAAACTTAGTACATAGAATCTTCTTAAGTTGGTAATTTGTAAGAACTTGCATAGACCATATTTTACTATGATTAAGAAGCTCTTCTTTCACTGTATGGACCATAACTTAAGACCACTACACACCTTCAGTTTTAACTGTACAGTAATTGTTTTCTTAAACTATTTAACTATGTAGGTTTTTAGCGGCCTTTATATCATGCTAATATTATAAATGCGAAAGTTTAAATGGATGGATGGAAGGATGTTTGTTAGAGTTTGTAGTATAAACGGGTGTACGGATGTCCATAAAATTTGGTATATATGTAGAGGATAGTCTGGAAGAAGACATAGGCTACTCATTTTGTTTTTATTTAATTCCATGCGGACGGAGTCGCGGGCGAAAGCTCGTTTAAAAATAAACGCATGTTTAGAAGTGTACTACAGTTTGTAATATTTCTTATCAGCTTTTTTATTATTTTGCACTGGCTTTTTTAATTTGCTTTGACATTTAAATACATTTGCGACATCGATATCCGATTGAATATTGGTTAACAATACCAACAAAACTTGTTGACACTTATTACATTTTTCTCGGATTGATTTATTTACCTTGTTCTTTTATTGTGTTTTAAATAATTGAAAATTTCGCTTCCCCTGCTCACTTAATCTTTCTAGAACTAAATTTAAAAAATAAGCATGACTACGGAAGGCCAGTAGGCATGACTTGCCGTTCTGGCCTGACTAATCTAGTTGGTATCTTTGTCACAAAACCTTGCACATTTATAGCAGTATTTTATGCGTAAAATGTATATTATTATGACCACTGCCGAAATAAAACTACGTTTTTCATGAAACTGTCAGTTTGTAATCAGAATTAACTTTTTAATTTGAATTAATTGAAAATAACCTCAATACATTTTCCATTGCAGTTAATTTTCATTAAATATGCAAGAAGACGAAAATAAGTTTCCAATATTACCAGAGTTTTATTCAATAATGCCAGCTTATGTACATATTTAGTGAAGTGTTACCAATAAATTGTTCAGTTAAAATACTGACGAAGATTCCAGTTGAACGGTGACATAAATACAAGGCCCTTCAGAAATTGTAACAGCTCATTTTCAGCTTGCCAGTTGCTATGTTGTGAAAATACATTATGAAATAGTTATCTTATCTACATAGTTTTGTAAAATTTGTTGAAAAATGACGTCCACACATCTTTACAAACTGACAAGTATAGAATGAGTTTCTATTTTTTTCACAACAATGATTATTTGGATATAAGAAATGATTTAGATTAAAAATATTTCGCAACATTTAACTACATGGAAATCGTCAGATTTTGAAATCATACTTCATACTAATATTATATATGCAAAAGTTTGGATCGATGGACGGATGGATGTTTGTTAGAGTTTGTAGCCTAAACGGCTGAACGGATTTCGATGTAATTTGGCATAGACGTAGATGATAGTCTGGAAGAACACATAGGCTACTCGTTTTTTTTTATAATTCCACGCGGACGGAGTCGCGGGCGAAAGCTAGTAACTTATAATTACATTTCGAATAAGTTTAGTTTAAGTAAAGACTTGGGTATGAATACTTTATCCGATATTAACTATAGGAACTTTAATTCATTTTTAACATTTGTGAAATTTTCTATTGTAAATATCAAAATTTAAATGCATCAATGACAACCATTGGAACCTTGCTTCCTTAATGTTGGCAGCTTGTAGTTTATGGTCCCTTTCCTACGTGAAGGTTTATTTTCAATTTATTTACCGCCTAAGATTAATAGCATGGAAATATATAGCCTAAAGCGTGTCTTAAGTGTAGGGCTTTTTATTAAAGAAAGAATTATGCAAAGATTTGCTGACATCCTGCGCCACGAAGAAGTGTATGTTGCCGCTTTATTATATTAGTATGGATTCCTTTAACTCTCAAACAAGAAGTTACTTTTGCCGTCGATGTCATTTTTTGCGTTTTGTTATAACGCTCATCGAATCAATTAATTAATATTAGACAAGAAAGTAGTAAAACAATTTCCCGAACATACTTAATTATTGACATGTCCTTCAGTTTTAGGTTGACAAAAAATCATTACAATATTGAATTATGATCACAAAATAATCACGAACCAACAGTGATGGAAAATCCATAACCAAGCTAAAACCCATCATAACAGAATTTGTATTTGTGATACTAATAAAATTATGTAAAGGACGATAATTTTCTTTAAATCTACGGAACCATATATATTGTCTTATTTACATTACATTAAGACTTCAAATAATTATACTGTAATGTATTGCCAAGTTATTATACCCTAATAATTTACTAACTAATTTTTAAGCCTCTGTGACTGAAAATCTACATATTAAGTAACTACAAGTTGTTTCATGTATTAATATAATTGTAACAATATGTAACATAAATACGTAGTTAAAACACATGTGGTTATAACATGGCAACAAAATGTCTGTGAAATTCATCAAGATTACGACTTGAATCATGTCGGCCTGGATAAGCAATTAACTGGTACGTTCGTATCAGATTACGTCATAGTCACTAATAAGAACATACAATAGAACGTTGGGATGTCCGTTACAGAGCAACGTAATGTACTTATGGTTTTACTATACAGTCAAGATGAAAATTCTTTAACAAATATTTTACATTCAAAATTGCCTAACACATAAGTAACCTAATACTTACCTATAAAAATAACTGGCTGTTGCTCGCGACTTCGTCCGCGAGAAATGAAAAAATAATTAAAAACGTAACTATTCAATTTCACGTGTTATGTTACTTACAGATAAATTATCTTTCCAACGGTGAAATAATTTTTAAAATAGCTCCAGTAATTTTTGAGTTCTTTCAATTCCTACAAAAATACAAATCTTTCCTCTTTCAATATTAGTACAGAGTAAAGATTAAGGGAAATAATGTTGCTACTATTTAGCAACTGTCAAAAAGTGCGATAAAGATAGCCTATGATTTTACTATCCTAAGTTTAAATATAAACTGGTGTTCATGTCCGACTTCGAGTAGCAATATTGCACAATAATTATAAAAATAACCCATTTTAAAACAGGATTGAATCTTTTAGATCAGTCGTCGTATCAAATTTAGTAAATAAACGAAGCTATTCTAAGATCGTTGTATGTAATTCTTCAATGTATTTTAAATTAATTACGTACGAATTTCGATAAAAGTTCAACGCCTTGACGTTTAATCAGCGATTACTGGATCCGAATGCTACTTGCCATGTCCCAATATGGTTCTTTATTTCAGTAAAAAAATGTTTTCTTAAAATATTGCTCACAATGTCCACTTCTAAATGCACAACTTTATAATTTTCTTAATAAAGTTATTGGTTGGTAATAAAAAATATTAGTGCTCTTATAATTTATAATTTAACTTAACTTTTCTGAACAGATAATGTCAATTTTCTTTCCTTGTTTTGACATTACTTGTCTTAAGTTGTCATAGCAGTTTGTTTACTTACTTTGTAGCTATTTAATTTAATAGTTTTCATTTACGTTAAGATATAAAAAGATATATGAGGATTAAGGAAACTTGTGTTCTTTACAAGCTTAAAATTTGCCTTTTCGCAAAAAAGAATACGTCATTTTTAAGTTTCCTTTAAGAATTGTCCTTTGTTGTGTTTCGATTGTTGAGTTGGCGCTAACCGTGTGCCTGCTTCGGTTTTCAGTGGAACCAATCGAAGTACATAATGACGTTATCATTGCGGTCGAACGCAACTCGATGTATGATAATGCAAATAACAAAGCGTGGCTTTATCTAAAGCGACAGCACAAGCGTTCCGACGGCGGTGCGCTACGGTCGACGACAGCGACGGTCGCTCTCCGCTCGACACCCGGCGTGTGTCACTCGAAACCATCAACACAACGGGACTCCGACGTTCATAAACACAATCAGAAAAGCATTCACGAGCCAGACGAAACGCGTGCACCACGTGCCCGTCTAATATTAGACCGAAAGTAAATACGTTATTGGATCGCCTCACGACTACCGCACACCAAGAAAGCGCGCGCCCACATGGACAATATTTCCGTGTTAAAATCATAAATGTTTTTTTCAATATATTCAGTGAAAAGAAACAATGAGTATCCGGAGCAAGTGGAGGGAATATGTCGCTGCACTCAGTGGTTAGTGTTTACCTATATTTTAATTTATAAATACTTTTTGTTGTTGTTTTAAAGTTGTGTTGTCCCTACTGGCAACACTGTCGTTCTGTGTCAACCAGTAACACCAAAACGACAACAGATTGTTTGGTCTTGTTTACAGTTGTTTGTATACAGTTATTATTTACGTATCAATTCATTATACAAGGGAAGTTACTTCGAAACATCTCTTACTTTTGACTCAGTTTATAACGTACATATTATATATTCAAGAAATATTTGAAATAACTTGCACATTTATATTACTTTCAGATTTACGGTCACGATGACGTTGCGAATCATTACAAATTATTCTGTAAAATTGATTTCCTATTTACCGTGGTGGGTTTGAAGCATAAAATTAAATTAAAATTCATAGTTGGTACACGTCGCAAAGTTCAATGACATAGTTACTTTAATGACATGATAACTTGTAGCTGTAAAAAACCTTACCATTTTTAACACAAAGACACTGCGTGCATTTATTATAATCAAATTTTTGCATCCACTGTTTTTATTAATGTAATAAGACGTATGTAATAAATATAATTCTGATCCGTATCAATTTTAATGTAAAAATAGATATAAGAATTAAATGAAAGCCTTTGTTGACTCATCCTGAAATGATGTTCATGTGAGAAAGCGACCACTGGTCAACAAAGTAAATGTAGATATCAAATTTTCATTTGGTATTATACGAAGTACAATTACTGTCGAAATCGATCACAATTCTAACTCGGTCGACTTTCATATTTTTTATTAGCGTTCATAAAATAGACATTTTTCATCAGTCAATAAAAAATTCCAATCAGCCAGTAACTTAACTGTAAAAAGTTTTATAGTATCTATAGTTACTTGTTTTTAAATTCCAGATATTTGAAATAGTATTCTAAAGAAATTTGTTCATCGTGTAATGTGATTATTTAAACCCAACTCAAATAAAATTGTCACTAGAGCACTTAGCATAATTAACTTCAATATTATAAATGCGAAAGTTAAGATGGTTGGATGTTTGTTTGAAGGTATCTCCAGATGCATGGATCTGTATGAAAAGTCAGTATAGAAGAAAAACGCATAGGCGTTTTATTTGACAAGATTATTAGTTATAAATTTCGCACAAAAAAATCACCTACCAAAGCTACTTAACAATTAATAAATTAACACTGGCGTCTAGTACAAGCACAAGGAAAAATTAAACAAAATTAAATAAATAATAAGAGATAATTGAGAACACAATGTCATGGTATCTTTAATTATAATAAGAATATCACTTAAACCTGTTTTTAGGATCACTGATTAAAATTCGCAATAACAAGACTGGAAGGTTACAAAAAAATATACTTGACTTTTCCGTCTGAAGAATTCATTTACATCTAATTGTATTAGGGTTATTTAAACAGCTTGGGACATACCTGTCTAGATATTACCTTTACAGCACTATAATCTCGCACCAAGTTCGCGGTCTTGACCGATTTCTCTTAATTAAGTGTGTCACACATGCGTTTACAACTAGCACAGAGCAGCTACGCACAGAAAGTTTTACAAATCATATTTCATATTATTATTAACATTATTTATTATATTTATTTCATACTAATATCATAAATGCGAAAGTTTAGATGGATGGATGGATGTTTGTTAAAGTTATAGCCTAAACGCCTCAACGGATCTGTATAAAATTTGGCATAGATGTAGAAGATAGTCCGGAAGAACACATAGGCTATTTATTTCTTCTTCTTCTTCCTTAGCTCTACAGCCCTTTGTGGGCCTTGGCTTGGTCAAGCAATTTTTTCCACTTTGGTCTGTTAGTGGCTACCGATTTCCAGTTCCTTATGCCAACATTCTTTGCGTCACGATTTACACCGTCTACCCATCTCAACTTTGGTCTTCCTCGGTCTCGACGACCTTCAGGCTATTTATTTACTTACTTATTTTTCTACTCACTTTGGTTTTTATTTAATTCCACGCGAACGGAGTCACGGGCGAAAACTGGTTACATTAATAAGGGCAAAAATGCACAGTTTTTTAAGTCCCGAATGTAATATAATCTAGGATAGAGTGTAATTTATATATTTCATTATAAGTAAAAAAGCTGTGTCATGGAGGTAAATATGAACTCTAACCGATAGTAATGTGCAAACAGTAGTATCGTATAAAGTTGATTTAGGTTATCTGTGATGCACAATCTATAACGTACGAGAACTATGATAGTGAAGTACGCACTACACTAGTTACGAAATAGAAATATTATCTACATTTTCAATTGCACACCAATAATAGTAATAGTACACTATTTTAGTAGTCAATTTTAAAGTTATTTTGTATCAAAAATGATTAGATTTCCATTTATCTTTTGAAATCCTTACAACACAAGCATTCTCTGTGCATCGAAATCCTACATCATCTCAATATGGCTAGTAGTTAAGCAAACAAGCGTACATATTAAATATTATTTATTTTATTTCCTTTGGTCTCATTCACGACTTTCCGTGAAACTTTATAAATAAGGATAAAGACGCAATTTCATTAGCAAACAAAATATAAATAATAAGGACTAATTAAAATGATCGGTCGATATAAACCAAGCAAGACGTGTAGGGACACAGTTGACTATAGTGTGTCTAAATAAGATAGATTAGCTTGATAAATGATGCATGTGAAGTATCGAATTCAATTTGTATGAAGGCAAATGCTTAATGACAGGTATCGTAGTGACGAAACAAACACACATAGCGAACAATTTTAACCTATCGATATTCGGTTTAAATAATTATCGAACTCAACTAAAATTATTATTTTCTTATTCACTAATTTAGAGGACAATTCTAGTATTGATTATAGAGTAGAGAATTTAGCGATGACAGAAATAATAGCCAAATCCAATTCGATTACGTGCGGCTGTAGTAGTATTAAACATTTATTTACTCTCATTATTTGTTATGGTCAATATTAATTTGAGACAACAGTGTTTTTTATTTCATAAGTTATAACTATAAATCTATCGATTCCAACTTTTATAAGAATAAAAATCGAAAATCGATAAGATTCATGACTGATTTTACACAACCCATCCCTACTAAATTTGAAAAGAATTGTCCAACTGATCTAAATTATTTAGACACACTATAGTAAGGAAAATTAAGGCCTATGGACTACTGAAAACGGTTCTCGAATACGTGCATGAAAACTATTGGATATGTGCCCTAAAAGATGCCATCCGTATACGTCAGTGTAATGAAATCATTTTTAAGTGGTGAAACAAATTATTTTGTCTTTCCTCTTGGCAGCTATCGCATTCGTACGTAGTAGTCGTTTACTACATTTATTACAAGACCGGTACATCCGTTGCATACAAAATACATCTTAAATTGTGCTCACCAATTTAGGTAAATAAATGAGACATTATTAATATTGTAAAATAAGATAATAATTTTATAACACGGCTTTGTATATTCATTCGACCATTGATTTGAAATATGGACAAATTATTTAAATAAATTACTTCAATGAAAATACCGTAATCTTGAATGCGGTAAGATTTAATAAATGTTTCCAAAATATGAACAGTCATTTTATGGAATTGTGAATGTCAAAAGATCGATTACATGCCAAAATTATTGGCTTTACGTCCTTGACCCGAATCGTCCGAGATAACGTCCAACCTTGCTAAGGTAAAGCACATGTATCGATAATCGCAAAAGATAATTAATACTGACACGATAATACAATTATTTCCTACCTTATCTGATAACAAGGTATTAAACAAGTCTTTGTATTCAATATAATAGAAATATGTGACGGTAAATACGAACAAAGTACAGCAACTTTGGCGATTCTATCGCTTGAGTTGATAATGAACATTTTGTTTTGACTGCACACAGTTAAAGTATGGTGAAATATACAAAAAGGTCATATTTGTATTAAGCATTTATACATTTGAATATAAACACATTTTCCGACGGAGCAAAGTTTTGCTACATTTCAACAAAATTTGGTAGTGAAAACCCTTAAAATTAAAAAAAAGTAAAGTTACATTAAATAACAACAAGCTGACAAAATGAAAATAGTACTAGGATTACAGAAATATGTAATAGATTGATTTAAAGATTCCATTGCTTTGTCACCATTGCTCAGACAAATTTCTAGCTACGGAAAAAATACTTATATGTTATCTCTATTTTATCAAAATAAATGATGTACAATATAAATAATCGGAAACACTTAGTATGTTTGCGTTTTATATTTTAGTGTTATGGTCAGATTTACTAATTAATTCTAAATCCTAAAAAAGCAACTAGGTCAATGACATATCCTAAAAATGAAAGGACAACATTAAACATATTGGAACTTAGATAAAGAGATTACTAAAATGGAAATATTTCGTAAAAACTATCCAAAAACAGTGTATTTAATATACTTTATAATATAATCATAAGAAAATATGCTGATCATATAAACAAGTATTAAGATTTAATGCGTGGCTACAAAGGTAGAGGAAGTCCGAAAGTATGGATGGATTGTGTAAAAGAGGATATGGGTAAAGAGAGAGTGGATTCAGATATGACGACTGATAGATATGTATGGAAGAGCAGCACATACTGTGACGAACCTCCGTAGACAAAGGCTTTTGATAATGAAAAGATTCAATTGCTTGTTTCGACTTAAAAACTACTAACTGAAAAATATCTTGCACCAACAATTTTCTCGGGTATTCCATTCATTATAATTATTATTTTTGTCTTTTCTAAACTAATCTAGAATGAGTTGCTATTATATAAAATATGTATTGCGTGAAAACAAAAATTGAATTTCTGAAAATTACTAATATTTTTTATTAAATTTAACAAACTTTTAATAAAAATAAAAACATAAGATTAAGCTTAATAAAAATATATGACATTGTAATTTACCTTAAAATGCATGTGGTTTTAATGTGTAAAAAAAATAGACGTTTCTAAGTGCTTTTAATACTTAATGCAAATTTT